GCCCCCCCCCCCCCCCTTCTGCGTCCCTTCAGCAGAGCTGGTGATCTGCGTGCTGCGTCTCTTCGACTTCGTCCCTAGTTGACTCTACCTCAGGCTGCTCCCCTGCCGTCTGCAGGGGCGCCGAGAAGTCAGCAGCTTCTTCGTGTGCGGATTTGCTCTCACGCATCAGTCTTATCCCCCATCCCAGGGTGAATGGAACGGCATTAGGTCCTTTCGCTCTCTGGCACAGGACCCGTGTACGCTCATATGCATAACGTACGTTGGGTTTCTCAACTGTCGTACTCTCTACTAACGAATTCCCCTCCGTTACCTTCTCCACTTTCAGTTTCGCGTGAGGTAGCTCACGCCGCCTCTGCTGCCTTCTGTTCAGCCTGTCGTCTGCAGATATTGTCCTTGTGTTAAACTTGTTCCACGGTTATTCGTCTAAACAGTTAGCTCTCTCATTACTAGAACGTGCAATGGGCTGGTTATCCCTATTATCTACCACTCCTCGTGCCGATGTTGGGCAGTCTGTAGCGTAGTGTCCTACGCCTCCACACTTCTTGCGCAATTTTCTCTTGTGCTGCAGGGCCCCGTTACGCGACGGGAACTGCCATACAGAGCGCCCCATGCCTTTGCATACGAAGCATGCACTGTTCCGCAGGTCACGTCATACTGGGGGGGTTGCCCTTATTCCGTCTCGTTTCTCATCGCTGTACGTTATGCTTAGCGCTCGTATTTGTTGTATCATTATTCTGGATTGCATCGCTTCATCCAATACGTTCTCTCTAGTTCCCACGAATTCCTTCAATGCCCTGGGGGCCTTCTGCCAGTTCTGGAAGGTTCGGGTTCCATTGTCTGTTAACGCTAATAGAACATCATCAGGTAAATTGGCTTTGAATACCTTCAGCGGGTCTGCTGATGTTACAGTTTCTCCCTGGCTCGCTACCAGCACAAATTCCGCTGCATATTGTACCGGATAACCCTCGCACCGTCTGTTTGCTAGTCGGATCATCGTCTCTTCTCCTGATATCCAGCAGAAGCTTGTAAGCAACTCCTCTTTCACCTCTTCCCAATTACTGAGATCTAATCCGGAGGCCCGTAGGTAGAACCAGTAGTCTATAGCCTTCCCCGCTAAGTATCAGCGTATATCGTGCCCCCATCTTTCACGTGGTATGTCTGTATCCTCGTGCTCAGTCTCCATTGATTGCAAGAACGCTCTCATGGTATATCCATCCTCGATGTTCTGTCTCAATTTTGCACCTGCGAGTGTGTCGTTTCGTAGCTGCATAGGTGCACCTAGCTACTCAAAAACGTCTGTAGGTTCCGATCCAACGTCGAATGCAAGAGATATCTTGTTATATTTCCCGGAACAGCCCCCAAATGTAGTGAACAGCTAGTCTTTGTATGCCTAACCACGTGCAACTTGTTATCAATTATCTATGCACAATCCACAAACATATTCCATTTAATCAAATATTAATTTCCCAAAGACCGTTAGAGTACCTATTACTAAGGGAAAACCCAGAATAACATAATTGAATGGCTCGCCCCCGGAGAGTGTCTGAGCCATCGCAACTGCGTCAGCCTGACGGTCAGCCCTAGGCCTCGTGTAAGCGGACGAGCACTCTTAACCCATTTGACCTCTTTTCTACCTATAGTGTCCCACTACAGGTATATTTATATTCTAATTGTTCACTTTCGGGAAACTAGACATTTAAGTTTACCTCGTGAGCTATATTGAAGGACGCGCGCACTGCAGCCAGCCAGCCCCATGCCCAAAGGGCTGCAGACAGGAGTTGTCCATTAGAGAACCATAGTGCTCCAAATCTACCTATTAAATGTTAAATATTATTTATATAAGGATTTATGACCACTTCACTTGCCATTGAGACTCTGAGGAGTGCCTATTGTAGTGCACGTGCGCTACACCTGTTAAGGGATCGGATAGGTTTGTTTCAACAGGGGAAAAGTCCAAAATAGTCAGATTCAGCTTCATTTTAACTTAAAACAATATGGCATTTTTCCTTTTTTTTGCGCTTTAGAAGGAGGTGGTTTCCCAGTGGAAGTTGATCTCGAAGACCGGCCATCCGCGGCTGCACGCTGCAGGCGTGCTTCTGTGTGTACGCCTGAAATGCATCGCATTGAAACTGTTGAAACCTCATGCAAAATACTTAGCTCTTCCTTCTTTTTAAATTTAAATATATTCCGCCTTGCTAATCGCAGTCAATTTCAACTCCAAACGAACATCTCTTGACATCGCCACTTCCACGGTCTAGCCCCCGTTCTGTCACTCTGGAAGTCTCCTGTTTCCCTCTCCTACCTTGAAGCACGTCCTCTAAGCCAATAGGAAAATATGGATCAGCGACAGCGATCTGCTAAGGGTTCTTCCCTGAGCCGCCTGCTCCTGCATGCGCGAATAGAAGAGGACCCCGAAAGGTTAGTCTTGGGCATGATGCAGCACGAAGATGGCAAAAAAACGGTCCAAGCGCTGTTGCATGGGGCAGCAGAAGTTGGGCTTCTGGACACCATCCGAGAGCCAGCAGACGCCTTGGAGGCCGGTCTCTGCTACCTTCCTGAGTTGCGACTGGAGTCGGCGAGCTGCAGATACAGCCCAAGAAAGCGCAACTCCAAACACCAGACCACCATTCCACTTATACCCAAAATTAAAGCACCTTTTAGAGGCCAAATGTTTTTCAGTAGAGACCTCGAAGAAGAGCTTCAAAAGGGGGAGTTAGTAGTGCGTATGGAAAATATGCTGCAGCTCCTGGGTTCGTCCCTGTTTCGCAGAAGGTCCCACGCGTCTGTCAAGCAAGCAGACTCAACAAAGCATATAGGCCGATCACGTCCTTCAACTCAATGCAATAATTAATTCACGCTGCCGCCACAATAACGCGGCATCAACGCAGTGAACAGTTGACACCTTAATTGAATACAAGCCGACGTTGCAGGAAAAAAAAAACAGAGGGAAATGCCAATAAGCATGCATCTATCCTCCTTCGTTTTGCAACTCCAGAAAGGGATTAACTTGACTGAGGGACTATTCTCTTTAATCAAAGCAAACAATAAAGCTTTACGCCTTATTCGATCTGTGCGTATCGAAAAAAAATTGGAGATGAAGATTATTTCGCTGTTCTGAAGAAGAACATGGTTTGCTCTCTATAAGAGCTACAAGCAATGGTTTCGCTTCTGTACATTACTATTGTTTGTTGCCAATGATTTACTGCTTGGTTCTAAGTGTCATTCGGTTGTTGTCAGATATTTATTATTTAATGTCTCCTTTTAATTGTTTATTCTCCCGCGTTATCGCACTCAACGGGAGAGTAGCGGCTGTTGCCCCCTCCGGCGAACGGCTCGAAATTTGGGGCGAATGGCCAACGTGGGCTCAGCAGGCATTTGGCCCTTCAAAAAGGAGTATATCAATGAATAAATGAGTAAAATGTATTATTAATTAATTAATTAATTAATTAACAACTAAATTAGGTACGTGCTGCCTTTTGTGTCGTGCAGCGTACCTTATCAATGTGAATGGTGATCCCGCCTTTCTCTGGCTCTTCAATTACCTTCTCCAGCACCTGCAATTTAAATACGATATAAAACCCATAGTTGTCAACGACAATAAATAATTCAAGACACTATTTTGAGACTACAATGTTGCTGCTGTACGGTGCATGCACAGGGGTTTGGGATAAAGTCTTTCAAAATTAAACAAAAGTGTTTCGAAGGCATACATTAAAGAACCTAACTGTATAACAACTTTGTTTCACAATTCATATCGTCTCATTTAGGTTTGCCGATTCAACAATCATTCCAGTGCATTTAGTTAAAAAATACAGAAGGGAAACAATTTTTCTTCACCTCGCGTTGTTCAATCTCCAAAGGCGGCTCGCCAGCGATTTCATTTCTCATCGGACCTTGGTGAAGGCAAAGGATCTGTTTGGTAATTGTTTTCCACTGTGTGCATCAATATAGTGATAATAAATAAGTAAATAGGTGACATATATTAGTAAAATATCAAGGAAAGCCAGTTTGGTTTTGGAGTAGTCGGATTCAACACGACGGCAAACTGGTGTGGACACACAAAAAAACGTCCTCACCCATTCGTCCCGGCAGCTTCTGTTATCGCAGCTGAAGAGCAAAAGAATAAGAGGAAGGCAACAAATAAACTTGAACATGCAATGCATTAAGTTGTTGAGTGCCCACGGACACTACAGAAATACATTCATGAGTGAAATTTTAAGGTTCCCTTAATTTAGGCAAGCCATTACTGCACCCAACGAAACTCACCACAAAATATCGGGGTCGTCCTCTTGTGCATGCTTAATGGCAAGGCAAGTTTCGTCATTAGGAAGAATATGCAGAGGCGTTTCGATTGCTTCTGGGAACAATTCATAGGCATTCAAAGTACAATTAGAATTCAAATTCGTAAAACAGGAAAAACAAACCCAAGTCAATTGTTTTATACTCTTTGTTGCCTCTGTCGCAGTGCAGATAAGTCAATATGCAGTTGTTGCATTTTGTCTTTGTTGTCAGCTTGTCCGTTTGCCCTACCTCAGGAGTTTTATGCAGTTTTTCTTCAAAATAACTGTCACTTTACATCCTTTTGAAATATCCCCTCTATCGCGAATGTGAAAAAGAACTCCTCGGTGCCCTTTCTTGCAAGCTTCCACACCGCCGCGACCAGCAGCAGACAGCAAAGGAAGTGAAGCAATTATAAGAGCGCAAAAAAGAATAAAAATCCTCATCGTTTTGACACCTCCATCCTAAAAGAGAATAAAATTACTTCTAAATGAATTCCGCTTATTTTGAGGCACTTTAGAATGATTTATTTCAGTTGCTCTCGACTTGCGCCAGTTCAGGTGTACGACCACCACTAAGCCTATTACGACACAATGGTGATCCGAGCTAGGTGCTGTTGCAATTTTTTCCCTTTGCACCTTATTTTTAAATATTTTTACCAATTTAAATGTACAATTTTGAGTAGTGGTGAGTTACTATCTAATGATGATCCTCTCTGGTGGAGCCGCCGACGCCTCCGTCAGCCGATAGTTAAAGAGAAAAGCACAATCGAAGTTTCTTTTCCTACGCAGATAATAGAAATCAATTAGAAATTATGATTTGATTTATGAATCCAAAGTAGCAAATATATACTGCAAACCGTTTTTTCTCATCGCCTAGCTCTTTATTTATACTGCAGTTCCAACTGTTGCAGGACAACCGTGTCGGAACCACTGCCTACTACGGAGTTAGTTACACTTACCCCCTCTCTCAGTCCCTTTAGGTTGTACTTTTAGATTTAAAAGGTCTAATACTCATATTCGTTTCAAGCTAATATTGGGAATATTCCTCAAATCTCACGTACTTGTTGGCGTGAGTAACAATTAAGAAAAACCCACAGTTGCCGTCCGCCTGTTGACGAGCCAATCAGCCATCGGCTATCGGCGGCGGTTAGGTTCAGTAATTCTTTTGTGTCGAGCTTTCAGAGAGTATCCCAACATTGAAATGGGATCTTGGCACACGCATTTAATCATGAAAGCAAATTAGGTGCAAACAGGGGAATAAAAAACTTGCGTAGTGAGGAAGAGATCTCAAGGAGCCGCCGCTGATCGGCAGCGAGCCGCGACGGTGAGCCTCGGATTCCTCTTGCGGCTTATGTGCAGCTGCATCGAGGGGTGCAACCTTCCTCGTCTGTTCGTGTGTTTCAAGCTTTTGCAATTGATCGCTTAGACGTTATTTCCTCTGTTCCTCAACTTTAATTCCCTTTCACGGTCTCTTCCTCCTCGACGCGCCGGCCTCCGTTGCTCTGCTGTGCAGCCGCCGCCATCAGCAAGCGGCTCGCCTGCGTTTTCCTCCGGGCTTTCCTATATTTTCTTTCTTTTGTTCATCTATCTCATTTAGGTCAGTCTTTTTAGTTATATTCAACAAAAATGGCTTCTAGCAACTCCTTCTACACCATGAGGCCGGTCATTCCCCAGACGCGCGCCGACACCTCATCCCGAGTGACGATCAAAAACATTCCGTTGGGAGTGACAGAGGTGAGAGAGGTGGCAAAAGAACCTTTTAAGGATTCTATTATTGAATTTTGTTTAAGTTGCAGCTCTAGCACCTCTTCCACTTGCCTCTAGCATCTTCACCTGCCTTCATTGTACTCTGGTACCGTGTGCCGACGCGCTTGCATTGGTTTATGGCATTACAGGCGATTTCCTGTCATCTATTTGTTCGGTTGTTGGGTGTGGCAAGTTTGCTCTTGTCTTATATGCCTTTTTCTGATTTGCTGTTGTTCTCTTCTTTGTTTTGTGTGAGTACACCTGCATATCCGCCACCTACAGTTTGTGTTTGGGCTTCCCCCACCACAAGAGACCTTCTCCCAAATTTCCAATCGTCCTTGCTGCGTTGTATGTTCAACTCTTCAGGCCCAGCTTAAGGCAAATTTATCGAAACACGGAGACATCCGTGTCCACATGTTTGTTCCTGCGACAGAGTATGGCCTCGGCTGGGCCTGGGTAACTTGTGAGAAGCATCAGGACGTTGAGAAGATGTTGGCTTGTGCAGCCGAAAGAAGAGAGAAAGCAGCAGCTGCTCTCCGAGAGAACACTCAGCACGAGACCGTCCAACCAACGAAGGATGCTGCTGCTGCAGACGAAGACGCAGCATCCAATGATGCAGCATCAGCAGCAGGAGAAACATCTGCTGATGATGCCAAGTGCAGCGAATGCTCAGAGGAAGTCAGTGACGCGTAAACAAACAGCAGCAGATGTAGCAGCATTGGAGGCGCCGCTAGCAGCACATTCTCTTGCTAAGGACAGCAGAGACACCGAGTGTTGTGCTGTGTTGCTGCTCCACCTCTGCAGCAGCAGCAACAGAGCCCATTGGGCCCTTGAGTTGCTGAATGCATGCAGAGAGAGCTCTCTTCTCTGTATGTACAGCTTTCGAACACGGCACCGTTCTGTTCCTTTTTGCTCTAACTTCCTCTTCTTTTTCGGCTTAAACTACAAAGCCAGCACTTGCTGGCCTCGCATTTGTTACATTCAGATATCTTGCTCTCTTGCTGCTGTTGTTCGAACCTTTCGCTGGAGCGACAGTGGTTTTGAAGCAGATGCTTAGAAATAACAGTTGGGACTGGGAGAGAAACGAGCTGAGTCTTAATGATGCGTTATAAAGGTTTAGAGTTACTGCTTAGTGTAGTGTTCATGGTCTGAGTTTGTATTTGGGCTGCAGTTAGATTTACAGTAAGGTTTAGGGTTTACTTTAGTGTCTACGATGAGGGTTTAGGGTTTTTCTCTTGGGGGGCCAGAAGGAGCAGGGGTTTGCTAAGGTCTTTGCCTTTGAGGCAGCCGCTGCTTATTCCTTCGCCTTCATAACTAAGCAGGGGAGATACCTCGCAGAAAATGTGATGGGGGGCCTCTGGTAGCCGGCCAGGCAGCGAAGACAGCGATACTGCTGCAGCAACCCACTTTGCATGCAGCCGAGACAACAGGAGCTGCGCATGCTCGGGTGTATCGGAAGCTACGGATGCCACCTCAAGTCCTTGGCCTTCAAGTGCCTGCATTTCAATATTTCCTGAGACTTTCACCGGTGCAAACTCTTCCTCCCGTTCCACCTCCAGGCACTGCACACAAACCCTAAACCCTACACCTTATAATCAACTAATGTGCATACGGAACTCGCAGGCCGCTAAACCTAGACTCTCAGCCATAAACTCCAGATAAACCCTCACCAGGACTCTGTCTGCGAAGGCGAATGCATCAAAGATGAAGAGTTCGAGTTTCCACCCGTTTGCCTCCGTAGGCGTCCTCAGGGCCCAACTCCTCGGGTTCTCGGTCATCGGTGTACCAACATCTTGTGTTGCTGGTGTTTCTGCTGCTGCTCGTTGATTGCTGCCGCTGTTGTGGTCAAGGCAGACGAGCTCGGGAATTTTCTTTTTCGCTGCGTGGAATCGTTTCTCATAGACTGCTAAGTTGGAGGTCACCGCCTGAATGAAAGCTAAACTGAAATAGTGCATGCAGACGTTGCCCCAAGCATATAAAGCACCATCCTCAGCTAGAGACGGAGGCAACTCAGAGTACTCTGCCACACCTCCAGCCCAACGGCCCTGCTGCTGCTGTTGTTGTTGCTGCTGGTGTTGCAGGTCTTGCTGTTGCTGCTGGGCGGGTTGCCGAGGCTGGCCTTGCTGTAGTTGCTGCTTTCGCTGCTGCTGTTGTTGACGTTGCTGCAGGAGGCACGGCAGTGCTGTGCGAATTTGGCAGACAACTCCTATGCTTTCTTTCGGCGACCGGCGGGCTACAACTTTGTTGGCGACCTGAATGCACCAAAAACCAAAATAACAGAAGCAATGAGCGGCTATATAACAACAAAAGTCCTGTAGGCGTCTAGAAGTGAATGAGGCCTTTTAATGAAGTAGGCGTCTTCTTTCGAAATCCTACTGACTGTGATGATGTCTGTCTGCGTTGTTGGAAGAAGGAAAATTCTGATCCTGTTGTCTCCACATTTAAATCAGAAGCAGGAAGGTTTAGCTTCCTTCTCTGTCTCCCGTTGCCTATGTGCTTGCTTATGCATCTGCTTCTCTGCTGTTTTGTTTCACTACTCCCTCTACAAAGACTTTCATGCATGTTCCTACCCGCACGAAGGCTGCTTATACATCTCTAGGTGTTCATTATACATGTATGTGTGCATGCATTGAAACGTCCGTTATGTCTATTCTAGTGTTCGTGTGTATGATGTGTTCTGTTCTGTTCTGATGTGTTTGTTCTATTCCAATTTGTCTTGGTTACGCCTGTCTTTGTTCTCTTGGCTGTGTTCTGTAGACTTGGTGGCCATTATTACATGTGCGTGTGCGCTGTACGCAAAGCCGAAGAAGACCGGGTCGCCAACTCTGGCGAGAGCATTGTCTACAGACAGCACTTGAAGGCCTTCCAACCCTTTTCTGGCTGCATGCACTAGAGCTCCGCTGTCGCTGAAACCCCTAAAGAGGCCCCCATTGCCGCTCGGGGCTGTCCTCAGCGAGTGGGGAGAACCGAGCATCAGTAATCGATCCAAGTTAAACACGGGAGTTGTGGCTTGAGAGAAGATAAATACTTCCTGAGGATTCAAACCAAAATAACCATTCAATGCAAAGCAAGCCTCCGTCGCAGCCCGATTCAAAGGGCTCGTCATTATATACAAAGGCACCTTGCACCTGTTGACGCTGCTCCCGCCACTGCCGCTGCTGCTGCTGCTGTTGCTGGTGTCAGCAGCAGCAGCAGCCAGCGCAGCAACTTGCTGCAGGCGCTGGGCGTAGAGGCAGAAGAATGACTTCTGTGAAAGAGGAGCGATCGGAAAGCTCCCTTTAGGGCCCTCAAAACCTAAACGGCTCCCGTCACCTCCAGCCAGCAGCAACACACCCACCTTGCCCTCAGCTGCAGCAGCACCAACACCATGGCCAAAAGCAGCAACAAGAATTGCACCAGCAGCAGCAAAAACAACACCAGCACACAGCAGCCATGGCAACAGCAATACGCTCAGCAGCAGCAACACCAGCAGCTCAAGTATACAACAACAATCCTTCCATGGAGGCTGCAGTGCCAAAATCACCACCAAGAGCAGCAGCAGCGGCAGCAGCAGCGGTAGCAGCTACAAACGTTGCTGCTATCAACGGAAAAGGTGAATTTCAACAACAGGGAAACAGCTCAGGTGCTTGTACATCTAACGCACCTATGAGCCCTAGACCAACATTCCTCCAGTAATCTTTTAAAGCTGAAGGAGAGGATTTTAATGATACAACTCCGCAGGCGGCTGCCCCAGCCAACAAAGCCCGATAAGCAGCAGCTAACTCCTCTTCATCCTCCTGTTGCTGGTTTTGCTGTTGCTGCTGCTGCCGTCTCTCTTGCTGCTTCTGCAAGAGAGTGTTGAGTGGCGAGAGGTCGACCAAGTTGGGGGGCCGGATAGAATCCGTTGCATCTGCAGGGTCGCGTGAGTTATTGGTGTTGGCTGCTTTGCCGCCGAGAGCAGAAGAAAGCATCTCATTTAGCTGGTGTGGATCGTGCTGTCGCGCCTCCTCCAGCAACTGCTGCTGCTGATCAGGTGGGAGTCGGTCATAGAAGCGGAAGATGTGCCCTTGACCTGCGGCATCGTACGCCGCACGCACTGCGGCCTCTACACCTGCCATGACTCAAACCCTACACCAATAGAGTCTAAATCCTAAGCCCTAACCCATAAAACCTGGCACACGCAAGAAATGGAGGCATTCAGTTTAAAGACTCGTAATTCAAACTGATTTCCAACGGAGGCTGACGCAGACGAACACGGTAGTAAGACGGAGACCCAAACCCTTAACCATACACACACCATAAACCCTGAATCACGCGCGAGTTATAAATAATTAATTTATTCAACGAAGAAGAGGAAGTTTTAATGTTTAACAGCAGATTGGATAGTTATTACCGTTAGGAAGCAATTACATACAGGGAGACAGCCCCAGCTACCGTAAACCCAAACCCTAACCTGGAACCCTACACCATAACACCCCCCATCGGTAGGTTTGGTGAATATGAGAGTTTGTGTGTTTGTGGTGGTCTTTGAGTTCCTATATCTGCTTGTTCAATTCGATATAGTAAGTAATTTAATGAATTCATAGACCTCTTTCGTTTCGATTTCAGAAGGACAGCACCGGACGGGAGGCGGCAGAAGACGAGAGAGCGCCTCGCATTACCCGTGTTTAGGGTCTACGATTTACGTTGTATTATCTCGGATTGTGTAGCTCCAGCAGTGTGGTTTTCACTTTATCTGGAACCTCATTTGAGGTGTACGCACACCTCACTTCCCAAAAGATGTTCGCTGACGAGAACTTCTTCTCCCCCTCGACGGGTTCGGAATTTCTCTCTTCGGAGCCTCGCAAGAGCGTGGGGGCCCCTACGGGGGGCCCCCTCGGGGCCCCCCTTGGTTCTTCAACTCATGGCTTTGGGATGTCAGGGTTTGGAATGGCGGACGAATTTGGGGGGGCATCTGAGGGTTTGTCTCAGACGCAGACTGGTTCCCAGAAGACCCCCCAAACTGCTGCTGCGCATACACCTGACGGGTGTATCTGCAGCACAATTCAGATGCTGCGGCGAGCGGCGCGGGAGAGGGCTGGAGGAGGGGGGCCCCTGCAGCTGCATGGGAGGGAAGTGGGTTTGGTGGGTTTGTGCGGCTTTGCTTCTGCATTAGAAGTCCGTTCTTCTTTGTTCAAATTCACCCTCGAAGATATGACGAGTGCAATTGAAGTCGAATGCGCCAATAAAGCGGTGCTGCACAAATTGCAGCTGCAAATGGACGCCCAAGAAGAGCCAGTGGCAACAACCACCACAACCACCGCCACCACCACCACCAACACTGAGTTGTTGTGCAAGAGGCTGAAGGAAGGCGGCCTGGTATCTGTGTACGGTTTTGCATGCACGGACGACAAGGGCGAGGTGTACGTGGATTGCTTTAAAGCAGCAGCAATTACAGATCCGAGAGAGTATGCACAGGCTTTCCCCTTCAGAGTCATCGCTGCAGCGCTGAAGGCGCAGGGCACAAACCCTAATCCAGCGCTTAAAACAGAAGGCAAACAATTGCATCGTGACCCCACGGAGCAACAAACACACAACAAACAGGAGCCCAACGGTACAATACAATGTCTTCCGCCTCCTGCTGCTGCCGCTTCTATTTGCGTTGTGCTGCCGCTATTGCTGCTGCTGCTGTGCGATGTTGCATAAGGGTTTGGTGGTTTTTCTTTTTGGTGGTGCAACGATGGGCGCAGGATGAGTGGGCTTTCTTTGATCATTTGTAGCTCTTCTGCATGTTGCTCAGTTCTTGTTGTTGAATTCGTTGCTTCGACAAGGAAACAATAAGTACATTGTAGCTGTGTACTGAGAGCAAAACATTCCTCCACTCCTTTACTGTTCTCTGATGTTTGAACAGAAGAAGCCTCACTGGAGCTCTATGAACACATAAGGGACCCCCTACAGCGGCAGCTGCTGCAGCTGCTGCTTGCAACAGAAAACAGAACAATTAATAGGCAGACACTCTCCAGTAGAGTCAAAGGCCACAACGGTGAGTTCGCTGCATGCGCACCGCAGGCGAAGCTTGGAAGGGTCCCGAGTTTAGGGTAGGAACATGATAAGGCACGAACATTCGCGTTAAGTTTCATGTATACCGGATCATGCAGTTGTATACACCGAGCTGCCTGTAAACCTGAGCCGGCGGCATTGTGTATGTACACTGCAGCCGAGGCAGTGGAGGAGGCGCTGAAGGCGTTGGAGGAGTCTGGAGATGTTGCAATGACAAGCAGCTGGGTTTCTTTGGCCTGCTGAGGCTATGAATGCTATGCCAGCTCCCATCAAATATCAGGTGTACGGACCTCAAGAAGAAGCAGCACACACGGACCAACGATTCCTTGTAGGCAAAGTAGCGCAAGAGAAGAGGATCAATAGCAGACCATTTGGGCCTATATGCATTTGTATACTTCTGAATACCCATGTAGGCCTTTATTGAGACCTATTTGACCTCGTGGATGGAGGCATGTGGTGGGGATGTATAGAAAAGGGCTGTAGATATCAACAGCCGCTGCATATATATATATATATATATATATA